ACTAAAGCACATCAAACATGCCACTGATGCACATGATGCACGAGGGTGCCAGAGCGCATCAATTTACGTGCTTCACTCCAATGCGCTGGATTTCCAGCACATTGGAGCAGGCTCCCTGTATCTGTATAAATGCCCATAAATATCACGCCCCCTCTTAATTAGAGAATTTGGTATGAAATGAGAAGGAAGAACCCTGAGGACATGATGCCTTTTCTGTGAAGGTGTTTTTAGAAATTAGTGGCAAAAATAGCTGCCCATGCCATATGTCTGCAACAAAGTGAGAGCAGCAGCAAAGAACTCTGATGGCAGCGCTGTCAAATACACCCATTATTTACAACTACCTAGATAGGTTATCTGGTCCAGTAAATGGTCATTGAACACTGGACAGTTTTATTTCCAAATTGTCATTATTTTCTGAAATATCTTTGTCCATGCAATTTAAGCAGCCTGGAGCTGCCGTATTCCACCAGTAAACAGTGCAAGGACCCACCTAGTTGTTTGCCATTTTCTCCTCTGCCTGCTTCCAGTCCCTGGCCCTGACCTCTTCCCCCATGACCTTCCCCAGAAGAGAAGGGATTAAAAAATAGGAAGTTTTGGGCACTCTTATTTTCCCCATGTCCTACCCCATTTCTCTTTTCCTGGCTGAGGCAATGAACATGCATTGGTTGCACTGTGACTGTTTGAAGGGGAGGAAAGCATGGCTGAGACTACACCCTCCCTCTTCCTATGTGACTGACGGCTTCCAGCAACAAATCCAGAATCCTCTTTTGAAAGAGCCTCTGCTGCCACCTACAGTGTCCTCATCCCAGGCCTAGCAATGGGGCAGGCTATGAAGATCAAAGTATAATAGAGTATAATAAAAATTAGGGATTAAAAATAAAATGTAAAGGCTGGCATCCAATTTACCTTCCTCAGTTTCACAGTATAATTAAAGAAGGGCATTTCAGTGGGTTCAATGGCTGCTTCCAGTTATTTAAACAACCCTGCATGAATATAGCACATAGGAAAACTATACTGTTGCTTGGGGTCAACAGAATGCCCGTTCAAATTTAAGTATGCAAATACATTCATTGAGTTTATTAGCGCTGCTATCATGCTTCACATCAACCACACGACTCTGTTCAGAGGACTACAATTCAATTTTGTTTTACGAATGATTGAAGAAAATAGAACGCTGTAATCTGCAAGTGGGTGAGGGGGAGGTATTTCAGATAAAGGATGCCTGGATGTGTTTAGGTCATTTTCCTGTGTTTTGTTTTGTTTTGGGTTTGGGGTTTGGGTTTTGTGTAAGTGCATTGCAATTGCTATGGGGAGCTAAAAATGCTGTCACTTTAAATGAGAAATAATCCTAAACACACACGTTCTTTTTCTGAACTGCACTTTGAAAATAATTATTCACCTAAACAATATTGATCCCCACTAATGACAGGAGACTATCAGTTTACAGAAATAATTACATTGTGGCATCAACTGGAGTCTTTTGCTGGCTTTTTATGTTTCAAACTCGGTTTTATTGTGGGGAAATCTTTTTGTTTGTTTGCTTGCTTGCTTATTTCTTCTGAGCAGACTTAGAGCTACACCAGAGATAATTATATTCCCCTCCTCCCCACTCTGTGTTCTGCCGTCCATCGAGTTTGGGGTTTTCACGTATAGGGATGGGGGTAATCAAAAAAGCAGGGTTAATGAAACAGTGAAGTCTTTCATGGCTGAGCCAGATTCCTAATGAATAGATTACTCTGGGGCAGAGACATGATCTCTGGGTCATTTCAGATGGCTAGAGCCTGATAGTTGTGTATCTGATTGCTGCAATGGCATCTGAGGGAGGGGAGACCTTAAACGCATGAGCGGGGATCATCTGGTTATTTATGGCACGGTAACAATGTGTATAAAGATATGATCTGACACATATGTCAAAGTAATTCCTGCTCACTGACTGCAGGGAAAATGCATTATAAATCCAGCTACTTACTGTGTTTGGAATTCTAATACGAAAAAAGGGGAGTGGGGGGAAGGTAGCTGCTGTGGAGGCTTTCTTCATGGTTGCCAAACTATTTATTTTTTAGTCAGGCTGATTTTCTCTGGTTTTTAATTTATTTAACAAAGGTGTCCTCTGGAAAAAGTAAAATCCCCTCAGAACAAGGAAGGATTATAGCACTAATAATTTAACCTAATCAGATGCATCATAGGCAGAAGGAGCAGTTGTAATTTCTTGTGGTTTTATTAATAATGTTCATGCCACTACAATGTACATCATCACTGAAACTGAATTTTTGTAAGAGGTTTCAACTTCCCTGTCTTTCCTACCACCAAAAAACTGAAACTGCTATTTTTAATGCACTGAAAAAAAATGGTACATGTTCCTTTTTAACAGTAGCTGTCACAGTTTCTTGCATTACCACAGCTGTAGCAATGAACAACTATGAAAAAAATATATTTTTAAATGTAATCAAATGGGTGGAGATAAAAATGGCCTTAACAGTCATCATCAGTGTCTTTGTTGAGAACCATTTGGTGAATTATTCTGAAACCAGTTCTGTTTCGCAGAAAGTAATACAATTATATGTAAAGTTTGTCCCTTTTTTTAAGGGGCCTGTTATTGAAACTCATAACTAGCGAGATCTCATAATGTGCACTTTTGTCATTTTATAACAAAATGTTGTGGTTCATGAAGGTACTTTTGCCTCCACCATAGCTACTAAACTGCAATACTTGCATACATTAATGCATGTATACCCTCAAGGATGATGGACACTAGGAATATCATAGCTCATTTTACAAATTGAAGACCCGAGGTGCACAGGTTTTCCCAGGGTTGCACATAGAATTGGTGTAAAAAAAAAAAAGAAATTGTACCAGATTTCTTGAGTCTCAGTCCAGCACCACCTTGATGATAATTATTTTCTGTGAAGATGAAGCCGCCTTTTCCTGTTGAAAGCAGCCCAAGACTTGCCATATTTATGTTTCTCAGTTGCATGAAGTATAAACTGCAGCACTATTGAATAGACTACTAGAGAAGAATGTCCCTTAAATTAGCAAGGTATCTGTTGTTATGGAAAAACAGCATCTGAGTCATTGATGAAATATAGCAGGGAAGGAGAATAAAAGGCATAACACAGTTCAAAAGAACTCCATTTACATAAATATGCAGAGACATCTGTTTCAGTCATGAGTGACCTGCTGGTTTAGATCATCAGCAGGGGAAACTTGTAGTTGATCAGCACTGCCTGCCGTAGCAGGTGCTACTTTAGGCAACAGGAATTACTGAAGAGGTTTTCAATGAACAAAGACCACTCTGCCTGCCAAGAGGAGACATACGGGAAATTAAAACAAACAGCAGACTCCTACGAATGTTTAATTTATAATTTGTGGCAGCAATAGCATAACTAGGGGTGGGTGAAAGGGGCACCTGCCCCATATGCCAAGTTAGGAGGGATGCCAGAACCCTCCCCACCCCCACACCCCTGGAAAGTTTGTACCCCAGCAGCATACCCGAGCCAGGAACTCCAGAGCATCCCAGGCTGCAGCTGCTTTAAGAGCAACAGCCAGGGTGGACAGAGCACACAGTGGCAGAAGCAGCAGCAGCAGCTCAGCCACTAACTGTTTAGGAGTTCCTGGCATGGATAAGATGGTTACCCCAATGCCCCACCTCTGCTCTTGAAATCATGTACTCCCTTTCCCCTGTGGGCTCCCACTCTTGACACTACACTCCCCTCGCCACCACCCCACTCTCGGACCCCACATATGCCACCACGTCTTTCCCCTGGAGCCCATCCCCAGGCTCAGAACCATGCACCCCCTGCCCTTGTAGAGTTTGCCCTGGGTGCCAAGTCTGCTTGTTACACCATTTGCCTGACAGAGTGTAAGTGCACTTTTACATCCAAAACTTTCCAAGGCTATTCTTCAGTTCACGGTGAGTATCGAAGCTGTACGATTCATGTGTGAGAAGTCATTTAAATTGAACTAGCTGAAAAAGAACAAAAAAAAAGAGAAAGAAATGGATTTTTATCAAAATTCAAAGGAGATATTTTAAACTGGACTATCATCTACATTTAAACCCAATGTGCTATTCATTATCAAAGAATATATCCTAACTGGTTGTGCAAAACCCTTCCTTTTTATGTTATGGTTTTCTTAGTGATCTGCTTAGGCTTCATCTGGTACATTATAAATAATGAAGTACTTCAAAGACATCAAATGGGTGTGTGCTTACCTTATTGCTCAGTACTAGGTGTTCTCTAGTATGCCTTATTAATAAACACTTGCTGTTTGTTCTTCCTTTTGGGTTTGCTTATTAATTTTACTGCTGTTTAAAGTTCTCGGAGTGCTTTTATGCCTTGTTCCTTCTTTCAAAGGGAACAATCTGTTTCCCAAATTATAAACCAGTAAGCAAAAGACCAGATTATTAAGTGTGAGCTAGAAAAGAGTAGGTGTGGTATGATATACTATCTCTGGCAATAAATTTCAGCAATACTGATTAGAAGGTGCTCATGCAATGAAGAAGGGTGTCCAAGAGAACTGTAGTAAAGCTCTTTAAGAAAATGAGTTAATAGCAGTAAAGGGCTTTCATGATTTAAAATACTTTCTCTGCCTCTTTCAAATATATAATATTTATGTAAGTACTGCTTAAGTCAGGGGTGGGCAAAATGCAGCCCGCCAGGCCATTTTATCCAGCCCATGGGGCCCCTAAAAAATTTAGAAAAGTAATATTTATCTGCTCCTGGCTGCCTGTCATACGGTTGCCAAAACTCAGTAAGTGGCCCTCCGCCTGAAATAATTGCCCACCCCTGGCTTAAATATTGCTTGTAAATAATAATAAAATGGCACAGCATGGTATGAATACTAGATTCACAGCATTTAAATAATTCTTCACATTGGGTCACAACAACTGTAATTCATATAAACATATTAGACCTTAAAAATGTTAATGATGTCCCTTTAAATAATGTTTACATATTATCATGATAGAACTGTAACTCTTGTTTTCTTCCCTCTTTGAACAGAGTGTGGATCACACTTCTTATAAACCTCATCATATTGAGGTGGGGCTAAGATGAGCATAACCAGTGACGAAGTGAATTTCTTGGTGTATCGCTATCTCCAGGAATCAGGTAAGTTTCCTGACTTTATTACAACACTGGATCATGGGTGTGAGAAGGAAAAGCCAACTCCCATAATAAAAGTTCAAATATATCAAGTACGGAGGTGCTAAATATTAGGTATACCCTGCCCATGGAGGTCCTGGGTAAAACAAGAAAATAAATATCATTATGTCAGTAAATATTTAGCAGAATTGTCATAATAGCTTATGTTCTTCTTGGCAACATACATGCACAAATCACAAATATTTCTATTCTTTGCTTTCTTAGCCACTTGAAAGTATTTATATCAGGTCCTTGTTAAATGTGGGGAGATTTTCTTCAAAAAAGCTTTATACCAGGTTGCAAACAGATAGTCATCTACATAATCAGTATGTTTGTAATAGATCCAGTGTGTGTGTGTGTGTGTGTGTGTGTGTGAGATCAAGGAAATGATGTATTTAAACAACTACATAGGTTGGCCTCTCTGTTGAGACCCTAAGTTGTATGCTCTTCCCTTCACCCTGCACATCTGGCACTGTTTTGTTTTTTTTTTATATAAAGGGGAATCTTTTGAGGGTAAAACCCTAACCTGTGCTTTTAAAAAATATGTTCAAATTGGTATTTTATTATAGGATCCTTTTGTTATTTCAACTCTGACAGAAAATGTTGTTTTAATGTTTGCAAGGGGCAAGCACATTGCTCAGGGAATGACATCCAGGATCTCAGCAGGTTTGAGGCAACCTCTGTGAAGATGGGGATGGGTATGGGGAGGGAGGAGGAAAAGAGATGTGTGGGGAAAAAAATTGTCCCCTTTATTTTGACAAAGGGAACCAAAAATCTAGCAGCTGAAAAGGGGGGAAAGGGGCTAGTGGACTCCAAGATGAACATGAGTCGGCAGTGTGACGAAGCCATCAGAAAAGCTAACGGCACTTTATCGTGCATCAGCAGATGCATGACAAACAGATCCAAGGAGGTGATACTTCCCCTCTATCAGGCACTGGTCAGACCGCAGTTGGAATACTGCATGCAGTTTTGGGGGCCACACTTCAAGAGGGATGTGGATAACCTGGAGAGGGTCCAGAGAAGGGCCACTCGTATGGTTAAGGGCTTGCAGGCCATGCCCTATGAGGAGAGACTAGGGCACTTGGACCTCTTCAGCCTCCGCAAGAGAAGGTTGAGAGGCGACCTTGTGGCTGCCTGTAAGTTCATCATGGGGGCACAGAAGGGAATTGGTGAGGTTTTATTCACCAAGGCACCCCCGGGGGTTACAAGAAATAATGGCCACAAGCTAGCAGACAGCAGATTTAGACTGGACATTAGGAAGAACTTCTTCACAGTTAGAGTAGCCAAGGTCTGGAATGGGCTCCCAAGGGAGGTGGTGCTTTCCCCTACCCTGGGCGTCTTCAAGAGGAGGTTAGATAGGCATCTAGCTGGGGTCATCTAGACCCAGCGCTCTTTCCTGCCTATGCAGGGGGTCGGACTCAATGATCTATTGAGGTCTCTTCCGACCCTAACATCTATGAATCTATGAAAATCAGACCCAAATCTCTATTTGGGAGCTGAGAATGCCTCCTATTAGCCATTCTAGCCTGGATCCACTCAGTGGATTATTGTTTTTCTGCCACCCTGATAGAACAATTCCAGTACTATGAGCCCTCAATACAAGAAAAGTTCATTGAAGCTTACAAGGCATCTCTACACGTAGTAGACATGCGAGGTTTGGTCCTCTAAAGGGCTCTTGATAATTTAGCTATCTGTCATATTGGCAGATCTGTTTGCTCTAACTGCACGGCCCTAACCCACATCCCAACACTCTAATCAGCAATTGTTTTGGCTGGAGAGACCACTGAAGGACTTTGGATGAGTTCTTGAGAGCTGGAAGGCAGAGGCGAGGAGGTGGAGTGCTGACCCAGCATCAGCCCTGGCCCTGTCACAGCTGTTTACATGGCCTGGTACGGTGAAGAGGGGGCCAGAGGGGTGCCAGTTTTTCCTATCTGGCCCTGGGCCTATGCACCCCACACCCACTGCTAGGGGTGTCAGATGGAGCAAGTGGGCAAACAGGTGGGTCTCCATGAAGCCCACCCCAAGATCCCTGTGGGTAGGGTATACTCGGATGGATGGATAGGGCCACAGGCAGGCAGGGAGCAGTGTCTAGGAGCAGGACAGTTGAGCAGGGCATGGGCCAGAGCTGGAATTGGGGAGCAATGATAACATGAGGCCAGGGCCTGGGACACAGCCACGATCCTGTCCCTACATGTCCCTGTGTTGGGCATCAGTTCTGCAGGGAACCACAGGGCAGGGGACTTGTGCGCATTGCAGGGATGAGTGAGGAGCAGATTACAACTGTGCTCCAGGCCCTGAGCCCCAGCTCTGCACTGTCATTGACCCACAATCCCATCCCTGGCCCCATCTGCCCATCCAACTCCTGGACACCACTATCCACCCAGCCAAGTGTGCCAAGCCTGCAGGGGTCCTGGCCTGAACTCCATGGAGACCCCACCTGCCTGCTGTATCTGGCACTACCAGCAGTGGGTGCAGGGCAGATGGGCCTGGGGGTGCCCAGGCAGTGGGGCCAGGGGCTTGTGACACTTGCTTCCAGGCAACAGTGGCTGCTGTTCACCTGAGACCAGCTGCCACCCCACCCCACCCTGCCCCACAGATTACAGCTACCAGCATGCCCAAGAGTTGCATGCAGGGATACAGTGGGCCATGCCATGTGGCATCTCCACACCAGGGGGCAGGATCAGTCATACTCACAACAACTGCCATGGGCCAGATGGAATCACTTGGCAGGCTGTATCTGACCTACATGCTGCATTTTGCCCACCCTTGGATTAGAATCTGGTTTTTGGCTTCAGTTCACGAGGATGGGGGGAAATATAATTTGATCACAAACTAACCAATTTTCTCAAAATAAATTGACTGGAGTTTATAGGCTTTTGAACATTCAAAGAGTTGCATAAATCTTATTAAAATTGTTACATTTGTACTATATTTTTCCACATTATGTTGCTGCAATGTAACAGCTTCTCCCCATTGGAAAGAAGAAACTAAATATGGTAGGCTTCATGTTCTGCTTGAATTGTCAATAGCCAAACTGATGCTGTGGATTGATTCAAAACATATCTTTAAGGACTTACTGATGAATGACAGGATCAAAAGAACAATGGCTGAAGGCTCTTATTGATTTTTTTTCTAGCATTTTTAGAGAAAATATCGTTGTTACTTCATATTCACGCCATTATTTGACAATGAAAATATATAGTCCTGCACACACAGGAAGAGTGTGAGTGTAATTGCATTGACGTCACTGATTTTGTTTGATAATTTCTACAGGTATTATTAAGTAAGCAGAAACTGGTCTAATGATATTAAGAAAACCAGATCAAACTGAGCATATTAGGACCTGGATGATAATACATAGTCTTAGTACTAGTGCCTGACACAAGACAAGACACAGTAGTCTTGTAAAGTAAATGAGAATTATAAGTAACGCTGAGCCAACAGAACTATTTTTAAGAAGCATGTACTGTACAGTTGGTTTTGATTTTCTGAGCCATGCTCATACTGTTTTCCCTTATGGGGTTTTACATTTGTATTTTTTGTTAGACAAATAAAGAAATCCCAGCTTGTAAGATGCTGTGCCACCTGCTAGCATAAACAATGTAGAATGACGAGATACAAATTAAAAATGTCTAAACAAGAACCTCTAATTATTGTAAATTTGACATGCACTTTTTTAATCCTTAGAGGGACGGTGTTTATTTTGAATATAGTTTGAGTTCAGTCATCTGTAGTTTATGCTGCCAGCAAAACCAGGAATCTTTTCTAGTTTTTGTATAACTAATATTATACATTGGAATATGGACCGAGGCTCATGACACCTAGCCAAGCCCAGATAGCATCAAAAAAATTAAATAAAATGGAGACAATAAAGTAATTTTAAAAGAAAACAAGGGCTCAGGTTTCCTTTTTGGTTGCCTCTTCTTTAATATTCAGACAGAAAGGAACATATACCACACCAAGAATTTAAATGCATATAAGGCAAGTCCATACCCAGATCATTACAAACATTTGGCAGCTCTAATTCTGCAGAGTTCTTGAGGATGTTTTGAATATTGCCATGGCAATGGTACTAGTGAATGGTGGTCATGAAAATACTCTAATGATATTATTAGAGAGAAAGTTAAAATCTTCTGAAATGGTGGGAGTAGGGAAATCATTGATTAAAAGTGAAAGTCAGAGGTTGCTTTCTGTTATAATTGAACATTTGAATCTGGAAGCGTTAAATCATTGAACTATCTATATAAGTACTGTTGTTTGGTGACAAATTTTAGGATACAGGAGGAGTTTGTGAGGTATTTGACTTAGGCTTCTTAATCTTGAATAACACCAGGTGCATCTACACATGCTCTTTGCTGTGGAGTAGACTAACTAGCTCCATAGTGAAATGTCACAGTCTATATGTGTGCTGGTATTAGGGCATAGTAAACTAATTAATTCTGCCATAAGATAGTATTGTACCTGGCTATACTATCTTATGGCAGGATAATTTACTGCGCTAAAACACACATGTGGACACTGACCACAGGCATAAATTGTGCCCGGCCAGCCCAGTCAGCTGGGGGCCTGCTTTGCCCTGGCTCATTGCTGCTGTCCCAGGCACATGTGTAGACACTGCAACTGAGAGCAGTTTACTCCTATGTAAACTGCTTCAAAGTTTATTGCTTCACATTAATTTCATGTGTATATATACCCACTATAATAAAATTAACACTATATATAATCAATATAGTCCACATCAAATGGATTAAAAGCTGAAAGATTTAACTATTAATGTTAACTGAAAGATCTTGAAAAGTCATTGGAAATGGATAATATTCATCTAATGGGATGTTCCAGTTGGAATTCCAGAGGGAACTTTTCCCATTCCTGTACTATTCAACAGCTTTATCAGTTATCTGGAAGAAAATTTAAAATCATTGCTGATTTAATTTGTAGATAGGAAATAATTGATGAAGTGGTAAGAG